GATGGAGCTAGAGTTTGAACCCAATCATCAATCTTTGGAATCTGTGTTCCTACTGGCTACTGGCAGAGCAGATGCAGGCCCCACAGGTGTGGTGCCTCAGAGCCCCTGGTGACCTCTGTCCTGGCCAGTGTCTGGGGCTGAAAGCTGAGAAGCAATATCTCTACAGATGAGCTTTCCTGTGCTGAACCACCACCTGCAGCTGGGGTTGTAGGTAATGTTGCTCCGATCCCAGTCTGTGGTATATTCAAGACTCTTCTCCAGCTCCACAACTCAAAGGCATTGATTCTTCTTCTTTCAGGCTTAGTCACTGTCCAGCTCTCTGATGCAAAGCAAGTAGTTTTGAAGTTTTTGGCCTAACTGATATAATTTCTCATTTTTCAGGATTTCTCATACAGCAGTAGGTCATATGTTACTATTGGCTACAATCATAGATTGAAATTGGGTTCTTAAATATGGGAATCAGTTTTGTGACTTCATGTTTCTTAGGGGTTTGGGAATTACTTGTATAATGATGTAATATGGCACTGATGTAATGTGCAACAGCTGGTCATGCTGTGTGGTCTGATGCAGTCAACCAATCACTTGTAAGGGATTAGGGTGGGATGCAACGATCTTACTCAGATCATAGCCTTGATCTGATCTAAAGAGATTTTCCTTGGAGTGTGGCCTGCATCACCTTTTGTCTTACAAGAAATAAAAGGAGAAAGAAATGAACAGAGAAATAACGTCACTACTACCAAGAAAGAAGAGCTGAAGTGAGGCATGTTCTTTGGATCCAGGTTCCATGTCTGAGAAACTATTTGACCTACTTGGACATGGTTGCCAAGGCACGTGGAGATCTCCAAGGGATGGTGGTCCCACAGGGACAAGGACTTGCCCCTCGAGATGACAGAAGGAGGCTGGCTGTAGAGCTGGTGCTCTGAATTTAGATTTCTAGCTTCTTAAACTGTGAAAGAGTAAGTTTTTGTTTGTTAAAGCTGTGCATTTGTGGTAGTTCTGCTTAAGCAGCATTAGAGAGCTAAGACTTCTAACATTCAATAAAATTCTTGTAGAAAAGTGGAAAAAAATTCAAAATAGCAACTTTACACATGGACTTCACAAGATGAACTGCACAGGAATCAGATGGACTCATCTCTGGAAAGACTAGATAGAGAAGCTCAATATGAGAGTCAAAACCAAGCCAAGCACTGACTGTGGAACAGACCATCAATTACTCATGTTTAAGTTCAAATTGAAGCAGAAGAAAATAAGTCCACATGAAGCAAAATACGATCTTGAGTCTAGTCCACTTGAATTAAAAAATCATTATAAGAACAAGCTTGAAGCACTGAACACCAATAATTTAAGACCAGATAAGCTGTAGAATGACCTCAAAGACATCACCAATTAAGAGAACAAAAGAGTAGTCCAAAGACAGTGGGTTAAGAAAAAAACAAAAGAAACTCTAAAAATTGTGCTAGAGCATTGAGAAGCCAAAACAAAGGGAAGATGTGCTGAAATAAAAGAGCTGAACAAAAGATTTCAAAGGACAGCTCAAGACAACGAAGTAAAAGATTAGACTATGCAGGTTGCTGGAATGGAAGAATAAAAAGGGAAATGGGACATTTCTCAAGCCGAAAAAACTGAAAAACAAATTCAAGCCATGAGTTGCAAAACTGAGAGATGTTATTACTTTAGCATCTAAAGTAACAAACTTTGAATGATCTGTTGTTGTTGTTATATGCCATCGAGTAGCTTGCGGCTCATAGCGACCCTATATACAACAGCCCTAAACCCTGCTCTATCCTGTGCCAATCACACTGCCTCTGATACTCCCATCCTGATTACCCCAGTCACTGAATCAATCCACCTCATAGAGGGTCTTCCCCTCTTGCACAGTCCCTCCACCCTCCCAAGCATGATGTCCGTCTCCAAGAACCGGTCTCTCCTTACAACATGTCCAAAGTATGTCAGACGAAGCCCCAGAATCCTTGCCTCCAAGGAGCATCCTGGTTTAACCCTCTCTGGAATGAATCTGTTTGTTTTCTTGGCAGTCCAGTGTACATTCAATACTCTTCTCCAGCACCACAGCTCAAAGGCATCAATTCTCCTATCCTTCCTAGTCATTGTCAAACTCTCTGATGCATAACAAGTGATTGCAAAGACCACAGCCTGTATCAGACACACCTTAATCTCCAGAGTGACAGCATTGCTTTTCAGTATCCTGGAGAGGTCCCTAACAGCAAACTTTCCCATAGCAATACATTTTTTGATTTCCTGGCTACTGGTGCCAAGAGTGTTGACTGTGGAGCCAAG